CAAAAATGGTACAAAATTTATATAACAGTTTGTGATAATGTTTTGAGAATTAATATATCTAACTTTAGCAAAAAGTCTTTTTTTTTTAAAAAAAAAAAATCTACTCCAGTACTGGACTCTACCTTGTTTTACATTAAAAAAAAAATTAGATTTCTCCAGTGAGAATCGAACCTCGAACACAGTTTTAATCATCTCATATCTTAAATTACCTAAACATCCAATGCAACCCTCTTACCTTTAGTGGACCCTGCTTAAACGTGGGTAAAATCACTATCTCGGTTAGAAATATTTTGGTGACAATTAATCTTATGTCTACTCTCATGAAACTTAACACACTAAACACTAGACAGTACCCTATATTTTAATTTAATAATTTTTTTAATTGGATAATACAATCTATAGTCTGTTTAGTTAATTTGTAATAAATTAAAATGTACTAATATATATTTTTTTAATCTATGCTAAATGTTTTTATTTTTTTGTAAAAAATTAGTTTTATTCAAAAAAATCTTATTCTTTAAATTGAAAAAGATGGATTAAAAGAATAATATCATTATTGTCTAGCCATATTATTAAAAAAAATTAATATATTTATGTAAATCAATCATGAGTTACAAAATGTATATCTATAAATTTGTACTGTAGCGTTTAAAAATAAATTATTTATTTAAAAGATCATATAGTATATTTTTATGGTTATGAAAAATAGTAAAAAGAAATTTAAAAAAATAAAAATTTCAATAAAAACTGAAAAGAGATTATTTTATAATTTTTGTAAATTTTTGAGGTTCTTTTTATAAATTTTTAAAACTATTAAGGTGTTTTTGTAATTAAAACAAATAGAATTCCGTTAATTTAGACAAAAAATAGCAAATTAGACAAAATCGACTAACGGTTGGATAGTTTAGGGTAATATTGGCTAACCGAAAAAGAATATGATAGAATTGACGACGCATGTAAAGTTTTGGATAGATCTGCTAATTTTTCCGGATCTTGTCCAATTTTGTCGCTTGCAACTGTTGAAAAGTCCTCTTCGTACAGTGATTTTTAGCTATTATAGTCATTAAAATGGGAAAGTATATAGTGTAATTTTCTTGACTCACGAACAAGAATCAACTTCTTTTGTTTATTTCTCTTTAAATGGTGGCAGGTGTATACCCGTAATCTTCACATGAATTATGGGAAACTTGTATGCTTTCAGCTGTTTAATTTTCTATTCTAGTTAATAAGAGAGTTACAAGTAATAATAACCAACTGCGTGACTAGGTTTTGTAAGGAGCACCGTGATCTTGATTCAAATTTATTTTTTCTTTAGACATTAACCTTCTTCATTATATTAAAAAAAATATTTTTTCTTTACCATGGGTTTGATTCGTTAAAACAATAATAAATAATTAATGCCTAAGCTTTAACTTTAATTAACTATGTAGCATAATATTAATATCTCCTAAAATTTTTTTAAGTTATAAAAATCAACTCCAGGATGTGGCATAATTGATTTGTAACAATTTAGTTAGAGTATTAGTTAGCCTCGAATTGAAAATTTATAATACTTTTGCTAAAAAAATTTATACTTTCTTGCCTAAGTATGTAGCATAATACTGGAGTGGGGGACCGCGGTCGCACCCAGATTGTTATAAACACCCACATAAATACTAAAATAAAGACTAATATATAAAACAATAACTTTGGCGGTCCTTTTTTTATTTTTTATTTTTTATACAATTCTTACAAGTACCTAAACTATTGTATGTGTGAGTATGGAGAAGGGGATCTACTAACTAGCCTAGTCTAGTGGGGGGACGACTCCATGCCTGCAACGCTTCTTTCCGTGTGGTCCATCAGGTGTTTGAAGAGCTTCCATCTGCAACTTACAAAGAAAGGCAACATTTTGCTGTCATGGTATTTCGAACCCGGGACCTCTGGGTTGGATGCCTAACCCTTTATCACTTGGATGACCCCCTCTTGTATTTTTTGGCGGTCTTGAACCTTTTTTCAGACATCTCTATTTCTACAAGCTCTTGAGTAACATAGGAAAATTCAAATGTAGCAGAAATAAATAGTTAAAATTAAAATGGAAAAAATACTAATTGAAATGGAATAGAAAGTAACAAACTTAACTTAAAAAAATTATCTTTTATCGTTCCAAACGTAACAATTACATTTCATAAAAAAACCAATATGATCAAGAATTCAAGATTGAATCTTTTTACATGTTATCATCATGACTTTTGAATTTATAGAACTTACACTTGAAAAATTAAAATCGAGATAAGATTAACTTGCATAACCTAGATTTGAAGAGGTTTGCTTTTGGGAAAATTATTAAAAAGGGCGTGAGAAAGATCAAAATTATTCTTAAGGGCGTCAGCATTTTTTTAATTTTTCAGCATGAATATTAAAATAACTTTTCAAGTTTTAAAATTAAAAAGACTTGTTTACCCCTTTAATCGATTACGGTTTCACTTCTCTCCTCAACCCCTCAAACAGCTTTCTTCTTCCGCTCTCCTCTGGTTCGTCTCCTTCCTTCCCCTTTCTCCCTCTTTTTTTTTCCCGTAGCCAATCTCCCCCTTCTTCTTCACCAAAACATTAATTTGTTCTCATCTCAAAAGTAAGATTTAGAGTTTCAATTCGATTCTTGAATTCAACTATTTTGATCCAAATCGTTTTGTGTCTTTTCGCCTTTCGGATTTTAGCATCCATTGTTTGTCATCTTGAATTTTAATAGTGAAAACATGAATTTAGTTAGAGCCTTAATTTTCACAAAGGAGGGGATTGCAGCTACCGGAAATTTCTAAACTCTTTAAATTTCTCGTTTGATCTATTCAGCTTATATCTCAAGAAATTAAACTTCACATATAAAGCTGGATAAAACTAAATACCTTTTAGTACTAGTATGAGATGGCAGAACTATGCTTAATTCAGATTGTGACGCATAGATATGAGCATATTCATCATTGCAAGATAACATTGTTTGCATCCCAAGATCATCTTTCAAAAGAATAAATTATTTTGGGTCATATTTCACTGTAAAATATAGTGATTTGCCGTCAGAATTTATATTCAACCGATCAAAAACCAATGATTTGAACTCCTCATAAGACATGCCACTATGCACCTGGATTGAATCGGTAACACCTCCTTGAACAAATATGGATTCATCGGCTGTTAAAATGTTTTCGCCATCCCAATGACAAAAACAAAAGATGATTTTCTCCATCCTGAATAAAATTTTTTTTATCCCAAGCATCAATATGATTGCATCGAATTAGATCAATAGTATTTCGTTGAATTTCCGGTAGCTGCAATCCCCTCCTTTGTGAAAATTAGGGCTCTAACTGGATTCATGTTTTCACTATTAAAATTCAAGATGACAAACAATAGAAGCTAAAATTCGAAAGGCGAAAACGACACAAAACGATTTAGATCAAAATAGTTGAATTCAAGAATTGAACTGAAGCTCTAAATCGTGCTTTTCAGATGAGAACAAAGATAAGTGCCCATTAATGTTTTGGTGAAGAAGAAGCGGGAGATTGGCTACGGGAAAAAAAAGAGGGAGAAAGGGGAAGGAAGGAGACGAACCAGAGGAGAGTGGAAGAAGAAAGCTGTGGGGTTGAGGAGAGAAGTGAAACCGTAATAGATTAAAGGGGTAAACAAGTCTTTTTAATTTTAAAACTTGAAAAGTTATTTTAATATTCATGCTGAAAAATTAAAAAAATACTGACGCCCTCTTTCCCACGCCCTTTTTAATAATTTTTCCTTTGCTTTTTTGCTTGTTTTATTTGGTCTGATTAGAACTGGCAAGAAGGTTTTTACACCAAATTTCACATTAATTTCAGTTGTGAAACAAAGATGTCAATCCTTTGAAAATTTCAGTCAATAAACAGGGAAAATAAAAGTCTGAATTTAAGAGTATACCTTAATGAAAATCTGAAAATAAGGATCCTAGTGAAGTTTTTAGTGTGAATTTCACCAATGTTTGTTTGTTTTTTTAAATTTCGGGACAACATCATATACAAAATATCATACAGATTATGTACAAAAGGTAAACAAGAAGTTGCAAATATGTAAATTGAGTGTCCACAGTTTCTACTTTATATTAAAGAGTCCCAATCCCACATCGGTATTGGGAGATTCTGAGTATCAATATATATGTTCCATAGGCTACTTCCCTCATTGCTAATTGATTTTGAGGTGGAAGCCAATGGACTTCTATACTTCAATGGTATTTGCTTACCACTGAACAATTCTCTAATATGAATCGCAAATTCTTTTAGTCCTTTTCTTTTTTCACCATAGAAGAAGACAAGAACAAACCCCTGCATGCGTTATAATTAAACGGCAAACATATTTTAAGAAAATGGTTTGAAGGTAGGTGGACGATTGATACCCGTAAAATTGACCGTTTAAAAAAAAATGCTCATCCAGGTAGTTTAACCTTACTAAGACAAATAACCTTTTCTCAATTTTAGGCATCAGTAATCATGGAAAATTCTCAAAATTGTGGCTTCGCCTTCACCAACAAATTGAAGTCAATGCATGGGGACGGCCTTATCCTAGCGATTTTGTTTTGCCAAGTAAGTCCCTACGTGTGTCCTTGTGGTTTCTTCCGTGCTTATAAATACTGACTTCCAAGTTCCAACCGTTTCAAGGAACCTCAACTCCCAAAAAAGCCTCAAGTCCTACCTACCTAACCATAAAAATCACAAATCCTTTCTATTCATCCTCCTCTTTCATAATGCTCTTCCTCCTATTCTTCATCATTACTTCTGAAATCGCCAATGTCGGAAATGCACAAAACGTAGGAGATATCAACACATCCCATTTCCCAGATGATTTCCTCTTTGGTGTTTCCACCTCTGCATATCAAGTAAGTTATTTTTATCTCATGTGTTTCTTCCATACGGGAACCAGTAAAAATAACCAAACATTAGTCCCTCTTCATTACTACAATCTGTTCTGAATCAAAATGACACCGTGCAAATCACATGTGATTGTAGATTGAAGGTGCCATTCTTGAAGATGGTAAAAGCCCAAGTGATTGGGATATTTTTGTTCATAACACCGCCGGTATGTAATATTAATATAACTTGATCATAGCACATCAATATTAAAATTCTACTCTTTTTCCTCCTTCTAATCAATGTAAATTTGTAAATGATTGCGGCTTATTTTTACTCTTAAATTTACGCAGGTAGGAAAAATACAGACACCGGAGATATAGCTAATGATCATTACCATCGTTATTTGGTACGTATGGACCTAATCAATCTTCTCGTTTTAATTACTTATTAAATTAATCAGATGATGGACCCTTAACAATGCTAGACTTACGTATGAAAAATTATGCATCACGATTCTCACAAAAAAAAAGTTGGTGTCATCTTTTATTAATTTGATAATAAAATAATTACAGGAAGACATCAGCTTGATCCATTCTTTGGGAGTTGATGCTTATCGGTTCTCCATTTCGTGGAGCAGAATACTTCCAAGTAGGGATTTTGATAATTTTGCTTGTCCTTTTGTTTTTTCAAAGGGTCCCTTTTCCTTTAGCTACACTTAAATTGATTCCAAGTTGTAATTTGAGTTGGACAGATGGGAAATATGGTGGTGTCAATTCAGCTGGAATCAAGTTTTATAACTCAATTATTGACAACCTTTTAAGCAGAGGTAACACGAAAAGGAAAACAAATATATATATATATATATTATAACTTTCATTAATTAAGTTTTTTTTTTATTTGGTTGCTTTAATCATTATTTTGATGAAAAAAGATAATTTAAAATTCTTTCAGGGATAAAGCCATTTGTGACAATCCACCATGGTGATCTTCCAATAATACTTCAGAACAGATATGGAGGCTGGCTGAGTCCTCTGATTCAGTATGTTTTAGTCAATTAATTTAACCTTCAATTTTATGATTTATCAAGTTAAAGCGATCAATAACATGATGATTCGGGCCAACCCATCAGGGAGGACTTTGTGCATTATGCGGAAACATGTTTCAAGTATTTTGGTGATCGGGTCAAACACTGGATCACTATCAATGAACCGAATCTGGTGACAAAGATGGCTTTCGAGAAGGGATTATACCCACCGGGTCGCTGCTCTACTCCTTTCGGTAACTGCCCCGTTGGCAATTCCAAAATTGAGCCACTGATCGCAATGCACAACATGTTATTGTCACACGCCAAAGCTTCTAAACTGTACCATGACAAATATCAGGCATGCATTATACATTATTTCCGTCTCATTCTAATAATACACGTATTATATATTATTATGTTTTCTTCTTGCATTAAATGATGCCTCTTTAATTGATGCAGCTGGAACAAGGTGGCATAATCGGAATTGTGGCAAACATATTTATGTTTGAACCATTTAGCGAGAGTGAAGAGGATGTGGAAGCTGCAAGGCTGGCTTTAGTTTTCAATGCAGCTTGGTAAGTTGCCCTGAAGAAATACGTCACCATCGAATTTTGTTAACATTTGGTCGACATCGAATTTGCGTTACATTGATTTATTATTATGATGGTGGGCATGTAGGACTTTCGATCCTGTGGTATTTGGTGATTACCCTGAAGAAATACGTCACCATCGGAAGAATGAACTGCCAAGATTCACCCAAGAAGAGAAACAAATCCTAAAAGATAGTGCTGACTTCATCGGATTAAACCACTACGGAACTTTTTATGCAAAGGCTTGCAACTCTTCTACGAATTGTGACTGTACTGATTCCGGCTGTGTTTGGCGAGACGCCTCCCTATCTGGCCTCCTCACCATTACTACGGAGAAAGATGGCGTTCTAATTGGCGATCCGGTACGAAACTGTTCATTTTTTGTACTGCTTCCCGTTGGTATTTTGTAAGACATTATGTTAAACAAAGTTTAGTTCTAATTTGTGTATAAATAGGTTCAAGGCAGTGTAATATCAATTACTCCCTCGGTAATTTTTTAACTAAAAATGAAAATCTAACTGGATAATAATTTTGAGACGGATGAAGTAACATTTATTACTGACCATATGAAATTACAATTTTTAATAATATTAATAATTAACGACTGATGATTTTTCCTTGTTTTTCAAATGATTAAATTTGTTTGCAGACCGCGATGATTGGTTGCTATGTTGTACCAAGAGGGATAGGGGAGTTGGTGGATTCTATGAAGAACAGATACCATAACAAGCTTATTTTTATCACTGAAAATGGTAAGTTTTTCAATATTTTCGAAATTCTTGCGTGCTTTCAACCTCTTGCTTCTAGTTTATTATTTTTGTTGGCTGGCTTTAAGATGATAGTGATGATGATGATGATGATGCATGAGAACTAAAGAATAATATCCGAATAGATTATATTATATTTGAACATTTTTAGCGAGGAACAATAAAGTATAGGACGATATTGGTGATTAAGCTAAGTGCCCCCCCGTCCATTCTAATAGCTCTAATCGATACCAAATTTATTTGATTTTTTTCTTCGATTACATCATCGTCGCCGGCCACAATGGCAATCATTTGCCACGAAGTGTCAAAATATTCTTCGCTGAACACTTCACCACGTAATGACAAATTCTCTAATTCTCAAATAATGAAATAATTAATCACAAATCCAGGTTATGCTCAACCACAGCAACCAGATCAAACTGATGAGGACTTGAAGAATGATGTCAAGAGAATTGAATATCACAAAGCTTACATCCAATCCTTGGCAGGGGCCATGAGGTAACCACACTTTTAATGTGGACTATTATATATAATATAATCTTCTCGAGAGGTTTAACATCTAAATCATTATTAAATAAATTAAGTCAACTACATTCATCCCATGAATTTTTGTTTTGGACATAGGAATGGGGCTAATGTGGGAGGCTATTTTATATGGACGTTGTTGGATGATTTTGAGTGGTTAATGGGTTATTCTTTAAAGTTTGGACTTTATTCTGTGGACCGTACAACGTTGGAAAGAAGGCCTAGGGCATCTGCCGATTGGTACAGACATTTCTTGACGAAGAAGAAGCAAAGAGCTACAACAACTTCGTCTTCATTTAGGGGAAGATCTAAATTATTGCTGAAGCCAGACTTCGCACAGCAAAATTATGAATGATTCGTGATTCATTACGGGCAAACATTGTAATTATTTTTTGATTGCTCCATTTCCCTTGCTCAAGATAAAAGGGTTTTGGTGGGTGGGGGGTAGTGATTCGTTGATTAATTTGTCCTTGTTAATTAAATCATCTCAGTTGTCATTTTGTAATTATCATTAATATGGACTTATATGATTCTAAATTCATTGGGGCATTTTTAGTGAAAACTTCCATGTTCAATCACAATTTGTTTTTAAACGACTTATATTTTGAAATATTTTTTCAACTCAAAACTACTTATATTTTAAAATGGAGTAAATACTCGTAACAATATGAACCGGTAAAGATCCAATCAGTTAGGCACAACCTGCATTTATAAGGGCTCAGTTCTAACATTAGGTTCAGATCACAAAATTTCAATTAAACTGTTTTATAAGCTCCAAACAATCACTAATTGGGGATGAGTGTCTCGTTCATTCTTGCAAGTACTATTAATCTCATTTGTCCATCTTCTAATCATGCCGTGCTTTCTCGAACCTGAGAGTTGTTGATGCCTTGATGGATAGCTATCGATTTATTTGATTGCCGCTTTTGTCGTTGAAATGTAATCGAAATAGACTTGAATGTAGAAGTAATAAATATGAAAATGATCCACTAATTTGCTACTATATTTATTCTTTCGAAATGATTGTCCAGTTTAATTTTTTTTATTTATAATATTAAATTATACTAAAAATAAAAACGTAAACTAGACAATCATTTGGAAACATCAGAAATATAATAAAAATCTAATGTAGCGTTTGAGATTTACAAAACAAAAAAATAAAAAATAAAAAATTGTTAGCTGTAAAACACGAGAACTTGATTTGGGAGAGAACAGTTAATCAAATATCAGATCAAAGAAGTTTTATGGTAAAGATTTGAAGCGTTCAACTAGGTCCTAAGAAATCTAAAGAAGATACTTACTCCAGCTTGCTTATAGAGGATCAGGTTGACCCACTATACACATTCAGCATCAAAAGCATTATTGATATTAATGGAGTGAAAATTTCTAATCCACAAGAAGAGTGTGGTGGACCGCGATTGCTATTTGCTATGTCATTCAAGAAGACGTGATATTTCTTACTTTCCCAACTAATTATTTTGATTTTCTTTTTTCCCAGAAATAATAAGAGAATTATTGTGATCGACGTGGTATTTTTTTTAATGAAAAGATACGGGTGTAAAGCGTAAACTTTCAATAAATAAATAAATAAACTCGTTTCATGATGAATGTTGATGTGAACTAATCAACAAAATGATACGCAAAAGATAATGGGTTGACAAAGCAAGGAAATTTTTTAATGGATTTTCAAATGATGAGTTTAGCACTTCTTATTTTATCATCCATGAGGACCTAAACCACAATTATTAGCAGATGCTGCTACACAAATACTATAGGAGTAGAGGAATTTAAGAATTGTCCCCACGTCAATTGTCACTGTCCCCTCTTGATTAAAACCTCCTGCAAATGATTTGACGTGGAAGAATGGAAACTTGAGGTGATCTTGGGAATTGAGATATGAATGAATCACGAGTTCACGACAAACCGACAGAGCAGCGGATAATCAAATTAATATTTAACACAGTAGAGTGATTAAGAAGTGTAGCAATCAAGAAGGTTAACGAAAAACGAAAAACAAAAAAACAAAACAGAAAGAAACAAGTGATAATGGAAGTGCGGTTACTGCACCCACATACCTTTGTTCTGCTCTGTTTTTTCCTAATTTGGACAAAAACCCATGTCCTAGGAGGCCTTGAAAATCCAGACCAATTGTCAGAAGACGTAAAAAAATCACAATTCCCAGATGGGTTTCTCTTTGGTGTGGCTACCTCTGCTTATCAAGTCAGAATCTTTTTTCTTGATTTGCTTCTTTGATTAATTGGGTCATACATCTTTTCTCATGAATTCGTGTTATTTTGTAACAATGCTTCTTAGATTGAGGGTGCAACTCTTGAAGATGGCAGGGGCCTTAGTAATTGGGATGTTTTTGTTCGCACAGGTTGATTCTAATAAGTGATCATTAGTTCAATCCTCTTATTTCCATTTTCCCTGTTATAAATTTTTTTGATTAGTGGTTTGAAGTTTTTCTACTTGGTCTTGAAATTCATCAGGCCACGTAAAAAATGGTGACACTGCGGATACAGCAGATGACCATTATCATCGTTACTTGGTACCAATTCCTTTGTCTGGTTCATTAGATTAGCTAATTGCATGACAGAGCTTTTGACTTTTTATGTCTGGGATGTTTATGATGCAGGAAGATATAGAGATAATCCATTCTCTTGGGCTGGATGCTTACCGGTTCTCAATTTCATGGACCAGAATTTTGCCAAGTATGTTTGACTGTTTGTTATTTTCTTATCCTCTATTCATCAATCATCCCAGTTCAGATTCTTTGTTATTTATTCTTGATTCTTGTACTGGGGAAACATTTATGTTTCTGGGCCAATCCTTACCTTATTTTGGTTAGACAGGAGGGAAGTTTGGTGAAGTCAACCCTGCCGGAATCTCGTTCTACAATAATGTCATTGATAACCTTTTATTGAAAGGTAATCTGTTAATCCCTTCGTAATGATTCCCCTATCCTTTTTTCCCCCCTTCCGATTTTAAGGCTTTAATAAAGATGCCAAAAACTGTAGGGATTCAGCCATTTGTGACAATTCACCACGAGGACTATCCGCAAGAACTCATGGACAGATATGGGGGCTGGCTTAGCCCTTTGATGCAGTATGTAGCATTCTGTTCTTCTTTATTTAGTCGTTGATTAGTGAATTACAACTTTTTTTTTTATGAGGAGAACTTTTGAAATATGCTAGGGATGACTTCGTCCTTTTTGCTGAGATTTGTTTCAAGAGTTTTGGTGACCGTGTGAAGTATTGGATGACGATTAATGAACCGAATTTGGTTTCTGAGTTTGAATATGAGAGGGGAGTTTACCCTCCAGCGCGGTGCTCCCTTCCTTTTGGTAATTGTTCAGCTGGTGGTAATTCAGATACTGAACCCCTGATTTCTATGCACAACATGTTACTTGCACATGCTAAGGCTGCAAAACTATACAGGGAGCATTTTCAGGCAAGAAGATATAGTTTGATATACCTTTGTTTCTTAGGAATATAGAGAATGTTTCTGATGTTGATATATGTTTGAGCAGGCCAAACAAGGTGGGATGCTAGGAATTGTGTCCACCGCATTGATGTATGAACCTAAATCCGACAGTGAACAAGACCGGGAAGCTGCAGCCAGAGCTTGGGCTTTTTATATTGCTTGGTAAGTGTTCCAACCACCTTATCAATAGTTTAATTTCTTGGTAAACCTGTTAAAAAACTGTCTTTGTAACTGAAATAGAATGCCCAGTAGCCTGTTAAGCTGTGAGATCACGTAGGTTTCTTTGGATCCTTGAATTAAGCACCATAAAACTTGGCCTTATGCTGGTAAGCATAAGAACGTCCTCGCAATAATTTAGACATAGAAGTAGAACTCCTTGGCATTTCGAATCGTGCCGGCTTGATTTATGTAAAAAAATAATACATTCTCCCTATTCCTGATGACCATCATTTGATGTGCTGTCAAATAGGACATTTGATCCTGTTGTATTTGGAGATTATCCTCCAGAAATGCGTCAGTACCACGGGAGTGAGCTGCCAACGTTCACGGCAGAGGAAAAATTACTCCTTCGAAAAAGCATTGACTTCATGGGACTAAACCACTACGGAACTTTGTATGCCAAGGACTGCCTCCATAGTAGCTGCCCCTGCTTCGAACCTAGCTGTGTCCCGGGTGGAAACCGTGCCATTCGAGGCTTTGTCAGTACTAATGGGTTTCGCGATGGTGTCCCAATTGGAGAACCAGTATGACTTCCTGATCATAATTTTACTGTTTATGATGAACAATTCAAGCATCATGATCACTCTTGTCCTGTTTTCTACAGACTGCCTCGCCTCGATTTTTTGTGGTTCCAAGAGGAATCGAAGAACTTGTGAACTATGCCAAGAAGAGATACAATAACATGCCTATGTTCATTACCGAGAATGGTGAGTAGCTAGCTGCATCGGTGTATGAAATTCCCATCATGCTTTATATTTGTAGTGCATTTTGAGGTTGTGGATTTGCACAAGGTCACCATTCTCCGAGTTTCATAACCTTCATAAGATCCTTTCAAAATCACCAGTAATCAGAGTTTAACATTCCTGTCAAGTTCTCTACTATTTTAGAGCGATCATGTTTTGAAATCATCTACAGGTTATGCTTTGCCAAAAGAATCACCTGATGCCTTACTGGACGACGTCAAGCGTATAGCATATCACAAAGCATACCTAGCATTCTTGGCAAGAGCTATTCGGTGAGTTTTTTTTTTCTCATTTTTCTCTGCACAGTTCTTCTGATACAGTTGCAGTTGATTTTACTTCTACATTCTGCATTTCTCCATTTTTGTTCCGTAGGGATGGTGCTGATGTCCGGGGCTATTTCATATGGACTTTGATGGACAATTTTGAGTGGTCAGATGGTTATAGCACAAAATATGGACTGTATGCAGTTGATCGTTTAACATTAAATCGAATTCCGAAGTCATCTGCAAAGTGGTATAGAAGCTTCCTCATGAACAATAGCTTTGAAAGTAATCATGTAAAGCCTAAGCGTACTACATTTCCTCTTTTAAGGCTTAAAAGAGGTTTCAGGAAAGAAGTTGAAGATGCCCTGGTCATTTAGATGAGTTAGTGACAGTTACAGTGTTGATCTTATTTCTTCTCATTTGTAATTGCATCATCACCTCCGCAATGAGCTCTGATTCGTCAACCACATTATTTGTTATTGCATCAAGAATGATGATCTTCATTCATTCATTTGTATTGAAAAATTTCAGCGTTGTTGTTTTTTTGGTTTGGTTTATTTGTTTAGTGCATATATATACTTTTTGAATTGTTGTTTACTACTCCTTCCGTTACAGACTCAAAACTCAATGTGGACTTTTTTTTTTTTGGACGGAGGCAGTATGTATGTAATAATCTTAAAGATCAAATCAGGTTAGGTGAAATATTGCCAGGCATGGTACCCTACAGCTAAATTATGGACCAAATTAAGCTGACCTACAGTCGATCTACCTTATCGTGCTTTCATTTAATATCTTAGGAAGAACATGGTGTTGTCTGAATAAGCTGTGGATCAGATTCTGTTTGTAGGGAACTCATATAACTAAAATCAATTCACACTAAAATATGTTCTGTGGTCAACTTTGTGCTTCTCTAAACCGTGTTTAACGTTGTCCCAAATTAATAATTTCTTGCTATGGCGAGGATGCAAATTAAATAGTAATTAATTAATGGATGGATTAGGTTGTGTTTCTTTTTCGTTTTATTTTTCATTTTCTTGAAGAATGAGTTTTTGGTTGGGTAGGGTCTACAACAAATGATGAGAAAAGTGAAACCCCACCCCGGGCATCATTATAGTTTTGTTTATTGCATAAATGAAATTAACATAATCTTTACTTGAAAAAGCTTTTTAGGAATGCTCACAATCGACAATATTAATTAGTCACATTGCTGACTTGAGACAAATCTATAATAATTAATTAAAGGAGCAAACAAAAAGGACATATGTCAGTACTATAATGAAAATTTTCTCGCCAAAAACCATTTTCAGTACAAAATCGTTTTTAACACGTGGCACTCTAACTAATCAGAAAAAAAAAGATAGAATAGATAAATACATAAATCCCTTAATTATAGCTACATAAAAATATCTTAATTATAAGTATATACTAATCCTTTAAAATAACAATATTTAGTTGATAAAATCAAATGTAAGGAAATTCCCTTAAAACAAGTGAAACACCAGTAATGTCTTCCTAATACCCAATTTCAAAGAATTTTTTCCATTCCGCTCCTCTCTCACACCCAGGCCTTTAAATCAATTACTTAAAATCTAACGTCAATTATCAATCCATCTCTTTCTACAACAAAAAAAAAGCTGTCATTAAAGAAATTTGATTTTTTAAGGATTTTTTTTTTATTGTTCTATTGTAGGTATTGGTCTATGATTTATGTAAACCCGTGCATAAGTTTACTGTTATAAATTAAATGTTGTAAATCTGGGCATAGATTTATGTGTAATAACTCACTTTTTGTTCTTTAAATCGATTTTTTATTCTTCTAATTTTTTTTATTCTTTTAAGAATGATTCATATTTTTTATTTAATCAATTTAAAAATACAGGTGACACCCCAGCATTCGTCCGGGACAAACATCTAGTTTTTATTGAATTCGTTCTGTTAAATACTAGACTCAACCGACTGAGAGAGACGATAAAGACGCCAATCATGTTAATGCGTATCTTCAGTTTTTTTTTTTTTTTTTTTCCGATTTGTGGTTCTAAAAATTATTTGGACCCATCAATATATGCAAGCACATTAAGATATGTGAAATTGTGAATGGCGTGCCATTCCAACTGAATATATCAATTTCAATACTTTTTTTCCGTTGAAAAAGTAATTTATTTTTTTATAATAAAGTGGACGGAAGGAGTATCATAAGAAGAAGAAGAGAATGGCTATTGAATCATTGACCTTAGTTTGTTGGAAATGGAAAGCACTATTAAGTTGTGCAGTTTAACCTTGATGTTGTTGATTTGTACATATGTAGCTAATGTTATTGCAGAAGGAGTTGAAGATGTTAAAAGATCACAATTCCCAGATGGTTTTTTGTTTGGTGTTTCCACTTCTGCATATCAAGTATGTGATTCAGATGATCATAATGTTTCTGATGTTATGCCTTCTTGAAATTTCTTCTTCATCCGAATTTCTAAAATTTAGCATTGACATTGTAAATGAATCTTGTTATAGATTGAGGGAGCATTTCTTGAAGACGGAAAAGGACTCAGCGACTGGGATGTTTTTGTTCAGAAAAAGGGTGACAGCAACCATTTCTTTTCCCTATATTTACACAACCTCTTTGCATTTTGGCAGTTTTGACCCTTTTTTGGTATGTTTTTATGTTTGTGATCCCATTGGAATTTGTACTTTGGCTTCGATCCATTTCAGGTAATGTGAAAAATGGTGACACTGGAGACGTCGCCGCTGACCATTACCATCGTTATTTGGTAAGTACAGAGCTTAATTTGTTCCCTTTTCTTATATATGTTGCCTTCATGGATGATTAATTAAGAACTTTACCACTCATTTTCCTTTTGTAGGAAGACATAGATATCATTCATTCCCTTGGTGTGGATGCTTACCGGTTTTCGATTTCATGGGCAAGGATTTTGCCAAGTATGTACTATTTGGTTTTCAGTTGCAAATTTTCCTTAGCTCACTGAAAAGGCATCCTTACAATTCTTTCACTTTGGACAGGAGGAAGGTTTGGTCCTGTTAATTCTGCCGGAGTTGCTTTCTACAACAAAGTAATCGATCACCTTTTACTTAGAGGTCAAACGAGCAGATGTTTATAGTTATTTTACGCTTCCACCATAGAAAATTTTGCCCACTTGAAATTAATTCGATATAAAAAAAAAAAAAAAGTGCAGGTATAAGGCCATTTGTAACAATCAATCATGTTGATATTCCTCAAGAGCTTCAGGACAGATATGGAGGCTGGCTCAGTCCTCTGATACAGTATGTTGCACTTTTACATTTTACCATTTTTTTTTTGTTATCAACGATCCATCAATGTGACTAATAATAATTGGGCTGTGTGTTTTGTTAGAGATGACTTTGCCCATTTTGCTGAAACTTGTTTCAAGAATTTTGGTGATCGAGTCAAGTACTGGATCACGATCAATGAACCGAATTTGGTCTCAATCTTAGCGTTCGAGCAGGGAATTTTTCCTCCGTCTCGTTGCTCCCCGCCCTTTGGCAACTGTTCTTCTGGTAACTCAAATGTTGAACCACTCATTTCTATGCACAACAAATTACTGTCACATGCCAAGGCTGTGAAACTCTACCGACAGCAGTTTCAGGCAAGTACTTATCAACTGGCACTATCAGTATATATTTACCATTATTAGCAATTTTGAGGATTCCATGTGGACTGATGTAAATTTTATGCAGCACAAACAAGGAGGAATCATAGGAATAGTAGTGAGTGCACAGATGTATGAACCACTAACCGATCATTATAATGACAAGGACGCAGCAGATCGCGCTTTGGCATTCAGCGTTGGTTGGTACGCGACCCCATTAATTACCTCTAAGTTTTTTTTTTTTTTAGTATATGAAGATCTTTGGAACATATATCTCTGTTAAGCTGTCTCACTAGATGAAGCCTAATTAGCTATAATAATTGCTACACAGGACATTTGATCCTCTTGTCTACGGTGATTATCCTCCAGAAATGCGTCGATACCTAGGGCGTGTTTTACCGAAATTCACATCTGCAGAAAGACAGATGATAAAAGACAGCATTGATTACATTGGAATAAACCACTATACAACTCTTTATACTAAGGATTGCATCCATTCTAATTGTGCCTGTAATGATCCAAGCTGCAACTCGGGTTCACAACGGGCAATCACAGGCTTCTTGGCTACAACTGCAAAGCGCAATGGTGTCTTAATTGGGAAACCGGTATGTAATTTTGTGTTTTAATTTCAGGATTGAATAGTTAAATTAAGCTGAATGATGTATGCATTTTGTTGACAGAGTTTAATTTCCACAACTTCACAGTTGTTCTCCATCTCTGAAGTACATAATTTTCGTTTTCAACAGACTGGGATGCAACAACTGTATGTTGTTCCAAGAGGAATGGAAGAAATTGTGGACTACGCTAAGAAGAGATACCATAACATGCCTATGTTCATTACTGAGAATGGTAATATTACCCTCTGAGTGTCCTTCCATACTGTATCTAATTCTCTTGCAAGTAAAGTAGTCCTTTGGTTCCGAAAAGAAAAGGTCCAGTTTGTTGGCTGGACTATTTTTCTGGGGCGAAATGAGAAGAATTTCCTGCAGGTGCAACTTCATTTTAGGCCAAATAACCTCTAGGATAAGTTTATCTCTCTAGGTACGATGGAGAAATCAGGTTTCTAATCATGGTTCTGTTTCAAGCTTGAATTTATTAATGACATAAAAAGCATCACAAAAGGATCATCATGCACGTCTAATCGGCTTGGACGAGGTTAAATTAAGCAAAGTGAGCAAGAGGTGGCTAACGTTAGATAATTCTAAACTTACTTGCAGGTTATTCTCAGCCACTGGATGCTGTGACAATTGAAGATGTTGATCGGATTGAATTTCATCAAGCATACCTTGCGTCCTTGGCCCAGGCAATTAGGTATCGGCCTCTTGTTAATTTACTTGTCATAGTTTGTAATGATGGAAGTGTTTTGCCAACACGTTTGTCACATAGTAGTAATAGAGATATGTTGATAAAAATCATAGTTAGTACTATTCAGAAATTGATTGATGAGTTATATTCAACTAGTGGTCAAGACAAATCAGTTGGTGTCAGATAGTGTCAGTATCTTACTACCTTACTATGTGAAGTCTGATATACCTACCTTATAATTAGTAAAGTCAATGAAGTTGAGCACATCATGATGACCTTATTTTCACCCATATCACGACCAGGAAAAGATTGATGAACACCTTGGATCTGGTGGTTAATTTTTTTTTAATTTTTTGGTAGGAACGGGGCTGATGTAAGAGGCTATTTCATATGGACATTGATGGATGACTTTGAGTGGACGGATGGTTACGACTTAAAATTTGGACTTTACGCCGTGGATCCCATGACACTCAACAGGATTCCCAGGCTGTCAGCAAAATGGTACAGCCATTTTCTGAGGAACATTAGCCTTAATGTCAATGATCCCTCCGGTAATTCTGCCTCGGGAACCCGATGACAAGAGAGCCGGCGACCAAAGTCATGATGAACGCCGGCCGACAGCCCCGTAACTAGTATAACAATGGTCGACTAAATTTCGACATTCACAAAAGGCGTCATATAGACACTGTCCAAAATGCTTTAAATTCCTACTACATTCAATTCATTAATAAATATTGTCTCTTCTTGATTTCAGTACTCACGTTCACTACACTCTTCTTTTTCTTTTCTTTTCTTTTTTTTTTTTTTGGGTTGTTTCTTTTAATAAGGACAGGAGGGAGTATTATTTACTCACATTTCCTTAGTTCAGTCACATAAAATTTCGTTAGGTATTCAAAAGTGGGACAAAGTGATAGACCGATAATATGGTTCACGCAAACCTAGTACATACATACAGTTTAAACTTTAAACCTTCAAATCAGCTGTCGGATAGGTGGCTCTGGTAGGAACTTGATCTAAATTCGACTGACCAATGATGAAAAAATATCTACCCAAGTTCGAAAATTCAATAAAAACTTTTTCAAAAGAAAGTGAATTGAGAAATTCTGGTAGACGTAGTGGTACAAGGTGTATTTCGTAAGGCAAAACAAATGTAGTCCAAAGTCATCATTGGTTTTATTTTCGCTCATTTAATTTGCTTGGCCTATAATCTTTTGAATATAATCATACTTTCGTCTCAAAAAAAAAAATGTTTAAATTGAGTTATTTGTGCTTTTTTTATTTATTTTGGGGGGGGGGGGACTGTATTGTAAAATTAACATGCATAGAGATTACATTGTTTCCGTCCTCATTAATTCAGCTACCTCGTTTCTCAACTCCTTCAACAAACCTTCCTCTTGTGAATATATATTGGATAAAGTGCTTACTTCTACGACTACTTCGTTTAGAGAAAATTAGCTGAAAAACACCAAGAACATAAGAATTGGAGAGAGCCTGAGAGCTCAAACTATTTAAAGAAAACCAAAAAAAATAAGATAAAAAAATGTATGTAACATATCACTGCCTTTAACATTATAATAATGCAACTCACTAGTACAATGCCTATCTAATTGATAAAACTCTCAACTCTTTAAATTTCATAATTAATCTTTTTAAAAAACAAGACAATTACTCCAACAAGGATCAATTTCCTTAATTTTTTTTTTTAAAAAAAAGCGTCCAACAAGGATCAAGATCGAGAAGATTAATTCAAAAATAGATTTCCTAACTACCTCATTTTAACTGGAAACATATGTGCGTATCTAAGTTCAATGTCAGAATTTATCTAGCCGGATGTTTAATCAATTGTAGCATTAATTTCATTGCCCTTCAAACTAATTGTCACTTCATTGTCCCAACTCTAATACCAACTCATGAATAATGAAGTATTATTCTTTCTCTGTGACAGAATTTAAATATGCGAAAATTGAAAATTTAGAGTGGATAATTATTTCAGAACTAAGATAATTATTATTGATAATTAATCATCCCCCGGTCAGAAGCCTCATGAAATATCATCCTCACATTTTTTTGAGTATTAATCCAATCCAAATATTGTAGAAATCTTGTAACCCACACGGGGGGCACTTGCCGGTCATAACCGCTCTGAACGGTGGTTAGGTTTTTTTTTTTCTTTTCTTTTTCACCCTTAAGCAATCAAATCACTCACAAGCGGCCACGAGCCACGCCATAGGACACCTACCCATTTCACCATTAATTTCACAAACCACAGCACCATCCATATCAAATATTCATTCTAGAGGTCAAAGGACGCCTTGAATAGTAGTATAATGAAATTAGGAGAGGAAATTTTTGAAGGAAGAATCGAATGATGATGAGCTTTGTGACGGTTTCAATGATAGCTGTGGTGGGATTATGGGCAATGTCTTTGAGGCCATGGATGATACGATTTGCCGGAGAGATGATTGAAGTTGCCATCCTCAGCATTTCCAGGATTTACAGTGGCAACCAACCCTTTGCTCCTTCTTCTTCTTATCTTCCCGACTCAAATCCTTACCTTCATTGATATGTTGAAGCTTGAAAAAGGTTAGGAAAATGTCCATAACAAGGAAGTGAGTCTATATTTCCGTGCTTCTTGACGTGTTTTTGTGTGAATTCCATTTGTAATTCATTGCTAATTAATTTGAGTGGTTTCCGTGTTGACAATTTGAAAGTCTTTTTGTTAGGGTTTTTTTGGCAGACAGTCATTGTATGTGGAGTTGCGGCTCGGAGTTATTGTACCCTTCGAATTCACTAGCTCATTAGTTAATTTCGGGAATGATTTGTGCTTTAATTTGGTGATGGGATTTTGTTATCATCGGCAGTTTCATTTAGGATTCCTGTAAAGTAGTATAAAGCTTGATAATCAGCCATTGATTAATGTTGTTCTTTTTAATTTTTTCAGAGTTTGATATTGTTAGGATACTTGCTCCCCGCAACAAATTAACTTATATGATGATTTAGGTACACTTTACTCCTCTTTGTAAATTAAGGGGGAAATCGTATCATTTTCATTAAACTTTAATTACTTGGATGGGAATTTTCAGGTTTTCTCGACCAACAACCATTACACTTCCTTTGAAGCTTTCCTGAGGCCACAATAAGCAAATAGATACATTTTGGATACAAATATCACATGAATTTAGTTTGCTTTTTTAAAAAATAATAATAGTTAGTATCTGACATGATAGGTAGTAAATAAGTGAATTTCGTTCTCCAGTTACATTTCGAATGATAGACAACAGGAGAAAATCACAAGGAGCAAGCGCTTCTTATATACCAACCCAAAAGGCAAAAATGCAAATCTGAAACACACAAATGAATCATATACACTAGGTCGGTACATATTCTCCGCAGGGAAGAAAAACGGAATAAAATAATGAATTCAGTTCCGACATAGCGAAAATAATGTCTAGAAATTTTTTTTAGGGAAATTAACTTATTTATTTGACTTGAAATGTGCAAGACGTTATTTAGATAATTCATCAGATCTTATTGAGTTTAATATCAGCAAAAGCAAAGCTAAGGATCCAGCTTAATTCACTGCCTCATCATCTTCATGATTCCCAACCTCTTCTAAGCTCTCTATCACTCTGTCCCCAGCTTTTGTAAGTACTTCTGCCCAATTCCTACGCAAAAATTGAACATTGACAGTAAACTTTACGATACCAACCAAGAATTTTTTAAAAAAAAAAAATACTAATAAATACTCCCTCTAATTAAGTTATCCATTTAGCTCTAATTAAGAAAAACAATTAATTCATGATCTAAAATGTTACCCTTTGGTGGAATCAAAGGCAAGGCCCACAGTGAATTTGGCCTCCTCCAAAGCCGATTTAAACCTCTCTATCTGATCCGGAGGAACGTATTCATTCATTTCCGGGCCAACCACAAGTTCAGATGGCTTAACGTCACAAAAGATGGGAATCACCTTCTTCTTAGCTTCGATGATTAGGGCTAACTCGTGAAGACAGAAATGCGATTCGCAATAGCGAGGAGAAAACACGAGAACTCCAACCTTGCAACCCTTTATTGCATCGTCAATTTTGTCGAACAGTTTATCACCTGGCTTCATGTTCTTGTTGTCCAAGAATGGACGAGCTCCAAGACGTACCAGGTGATCGTACAGCAAAGATGCTATCGTTCTCTTTGTATCGATTCCCCTATGATTAATGAAAACCTCACACGGTCGTCGTGGCGTTTTGGGAATTTTGCTCAAAATGCAAGTTGGATTTTGCAAGCTTTCAATGTTATTAAACCCTAGTAACATTCTTTTGGCTAGCAAACGGTGCATTTTTACCAAAACTTTGTTCTTATGGTTGGAAGATGTGTATGGGATAATTTAGGGGATATTGGGTATAAAGAAAGGGTTAAGATATTTGGTGGGTTATATATAAGTGCCCTATTAGATATTTGGTGTGAATCATAGACTTGACACACGAGTTTGTGGCATTTTCATGCATATGTGGAAACAGAAGCATCTTCTGGAGGTACGTTTTGAACTTTTAATAACGTTTATTTCGGAGTTGTACTAAAGATTAAGTAGCATATAGTATTACTTAGTGGGAGATTCTACGTTCACAGAAATCCATTTTATTCAACATTTCCGTTTCCCAATAGATAGTTGATTTGAGTATTTTTAAACATGAGAGTCAAAAGACAGGAAAACACCCCCTTCATTTGACCAAGTGTTGACCACCGGATTCAGTCGTGGCAGAGGGTGTAGAAATACTGTATATAGTGCTATATAGTGAATGAATCCTTCAAAGTAATTAACAAGGTTTCGCTGAGTTGACCGTGTGCGGGGCTGTAAGCTTTGTACTAACAATTTTCATTTAGTCGGTTGCCCATTAATTCAGTTTGAGCCTTTGAGGAGAGAGAGAGAGATGAGATTCATTGTATCCATTCTTTGGTGATTTCGTCATGTTAATTAATTTCAAAATGTAAGTCTTTTTAGACTTGTCACGTATACTAAGGAGACAATCATCCAACAATTAATTTATGTGTTAAATATCTTTTTTACCCCTCATTAATTACATTAAAACTATAAACAAGACTAAATAAAAATATATTAGCATCATTTATTGAGGGTAAAGTTAAAAAAATAGTCATTAATTTGCCTAGAATTTGTAAAACGACTTACATTTCGAAAAATCTCTCCAAACCTAAAACGACCTACATTTTGAAATGGAAGGAGTAAGTGTCATCCTACACTTTGCACATAGTTTAAGAAACTCTTAAATAGGGTAATAAAATTACTGAAATATCCTCGACCAACCTTATTAAAAAAATATCCACCAAAGTATTAATTCTTTTGAGGGTAATTTTGAAAACTTTAAACAAAAAGTGCATTGAAATATGAGAACAACACTTATTTTGAAATTTCTCCATTTTACTAAAACGACACTTATTTTGGAACGGAGGGAGTATCTTATAATTAAGACATAAGAACGTAGAGAGTAATAACTAAAGTCGATGAGATTGTGTTTTTGGTGAGGGCTAAAGTCATGAGGTTTGGATAAAATAATAAGTGGGAAAGGTCATGTTTTAATTATTACTTGGAATATTTATTTTCTGATATTCTGTTCATTTGAAAGTAATTTTTTTTTGTTTATATTCTCGTTTTTTTAAAAAAAAAATTGTATAAAAAAAAAACTTTAACTTGATAGTTATTTCTGGAATAGCGGAGTATTCATTTTTGTTTACTGGGAAATAGTGATGTAAATAATGAACTTTTTTTTTACCCATTTAATAAGATCGTTCAAGACTTTGTGGGGAGATCAATTCAATTTGCGACAACTACAATGGGACAAATCCATTTTATTATTATTTATACTAATAGTGCATTAGTGGTTATTATTATCATTATTATTATTGCTTCATGCGTATAGAGAGGTTTGAAAAGAAGAAAATATGATAAGTTAATTAGAATGGCAATTAAAGTTTTCCGCAAAAACACGCCCGGAAGCTCAAATATGACAAAACGACTGCTAAAACTTTCGGCCGGTGATGAACTTGTCAATGAAGTTTGGCTTGTCCTCCATGCATGCATCTGCGTACATATATAATATTTTTAAAGCAAAGATTAGTCATGTGTACTCATCTTTCATCTTAATAGTCTGATTAATTGAACTATCAGAATATAATAAATTGTTGGACTATTATAGTGGTACCGTCGAATTAATAAAATATCTATTTACTGACAAAATCCAGAAATATATTAACAATGTTAAGATCACGTCGCAAGTTATACTACTCAACTACAAATCGCAAGTTATGTTTAATCATCAGTCTAACTTTATATCTCTTGATCCTTTTGATACGAGTTTTATTTAACTTTCTGTTCACCACAGATGAAAAAAAAAGGAGGTAACTCAATAAAAAGGTGTGGAAAGTAAGCGAAAGGAACACATAAAATGTTGCAAGGTTGTTTAGCTGATGTAGTTTTTGTGGAACAAATTAAAATCTAAATGTCTCTTACTACAGAACCAAGAATAACTTCTTTTGTTTCTACGTTAATTACTCTCTCATAATTATTGTTGTAATGTGAAAGATTAAGTAAGTATATGCGCACCTAGTATACATTTAAAATTAGTAACTGGTTTTATAGAAGAAAGAGCTGGTCTAAACGTTAATTCTTCAAACTTTAGTTTCTAGACTTTCTTTTTTAAAAAAATAAAAGAAACACAAAAATTCCTCTTTTGGAAATATTCGTCTCTTGACTTGTTGAATTCATCGGGTTGTTCATGTTCTTCTGCTAAGAAATAAGAATAGCTTTATTCTGCTTAAGAAATCAGAGAGTCAATTGTTATGCAACATTACTGGTCATAGTTTTTGGACCGTTTTCTTTCTAACTTCTACGTAAATTGGTGGGCTACTCTTTCCATTGTAGCGTTGTTGGATGTGGATTGTGGAATAGTTCTACTGGTGTTTCATGTAATGTTTGAACACCTTTAGCCTTTAGGTTGCACTGTTTAAGTATTAAATTGGTGCTTCATGAAACAGTAACCATGAAGCACATCATATTTTGGATTTTTAATTAGTTTATGTGTTTTATAAAACGAACCCCTAAATTAAGTAATATGTAATTTTGTCACTGTTTTGTATATTGATAAAGTTATTAAATTCACAAGTCCAAATTAACTGATTTAAATGATCTCATGCGTATATTCACTATTTAATTTACATGTAAAGCTACGATCCTGTTAACAATTTTAAGGGTACGGTCCCGTTATTTAATTAATAGTAGCTAGATTAGTCTAAATTAATGAAAACCATAGGATTTGCAAGAAATGAATTAATTAATAACAAACTAATTGATTGGGAACTTATAAAACTCAAAAAATTATTTATGGTATGGAATTTAATTGGAAGTATTTTTCTCCCTTAATTTCTATTTTAATTTACAACTTGTAAATTAAGTACCCCTTCTTCTCCTGGCTGGTTTTTTTTTTCTTCAGTTTTTTTTCCCCTTTCCATGGCAAAATACGGAAGTTAGAATTGATAAAACAGAAGATAATGTATAACAATATGTCAATAAAAGTACCATTTTTATGAGCATATGTGTAATCACACGGATCTTTTGTGCAATGAAAAAATAATAATTAGGTGTTATGGTAAATTTTTATATAGTATAATTTGTAACAAGTGAACGTGCAATATATATTTTTTTAAGGTGCAATATATATACATATATATATAAGAGACAACGCAATTATGTATCAATGTGCAATGTTTTATAAACTAATGTGCAATCACATATAAGTATTTATACAATTACACATGACTTCTTGTGCAAGAGGAAGTTAAAATAAAGAAAATTGATTAATGATTATGTTAAGTTTGATAAATTGCAGTTTTTACAAGTAAACGTGCAATATGAATTTGTTGAATGTGCAATAGCATTCTCAAAGGTGCAATGCTTGTATATTGATTATTTTTATTATTATTTCAAATTAACATAAATGCATATACAAATGATGATACAATTATGACTTATCAATATAGGTGCAATGTTACATAAACAAATGTGCAATCACATTTAATTATTTTTACAATATAAAAAATAAAATAAGGAAACTTAATTATTAATTGATGATGATTTTGTTATTTTAAGTGTTAAAACTTTCCTAAGTTATTCATTTTGTTAAAGTTTTGGTAAGTTTACCTTTTGTGTCACTTTATTATTAGTTTAAATTTAACGAGACCATACCCTCAAAATGACCAACGGGACCTAGAATTTTTCTTAATTTACAAACACATTTACAAATACAAAAAAGAAAAACACTAATCACATTTAATTTTAGACCATTAACAAAAGACACATACATTGATATTAATAATTGGAGTTACAACTGAATGCCCCAAAAAAAAAAGGATAAATAGAAATACAAAAGTCGGTTACCTTTTTGTGATTTAATAAAATTAATAAAAAGAGGATGAATAAGATTATGATGAATATTTCTTTTTAGGTATGGAATTTGGTGTCGATGGATGGGGTAGTCGCCAAAACACCAAACAGTTTTATTTTTCTTTTTTTTTACACACTTAAAAACCCATCATAAACAAAATTCAATCCCTTATCTTTTAGGAATTCGATGTAGAGATATACCACCAGGTTAATATTAACATTCCTTATCATTTTTTAATTTTGAAATTACTGTTTACTACTTCATAATCGTAAAACTTATGTTAAAAACACAAAATCATGCATTGGAACAGAGCTAGGACCAAATAATAATAATAATAATAATAATAATAATAAAATTTTAAAAATTTAAAAAATGAAATGAAATAAACAAGTGATTCGTTTTGTGGTAAAGGAAGAGAGAATAATGAAAATGAAGTTTAACACATAAAAGTGGTAAATATTGGAGGAGTTTGATTAAGAAACGATGAGAAAGCTTTGATTAGGAAGGCATGAAAGCCATGAAGGCATCTGGAATCTCTCCTAGTAATCACGAGGATCTTCAAACAAACACCACCACTTTACATCCTCACAGCAAACCATATGCATGTGTGTGTTAAGCTCCAAATGATTCATTATTAGCCTTTTTTTTTTTTAATGTACTACGTACGTAATTAATATTGCAAAAAAGTTTCCCATTTTTTTAATTTTAGTTTAATCCACTTGCTATTGCTAGATCTGAACGTTGATAGGGCAACTAGCTAGTTATATTCATTATTATTATTTATTGATTATTAAATTATGAATCAGACATCGTATCACATCACGATGTTACTATCATTATTATGTTTTTTTATATATATTTACTTAATTTTTTTAATTATTTGATGGAACAAGCTAGCTAACAAAGGGTACTTAATTGCTATGGCAAGCAATTAAGCATCATCACTCACCAAAAGACCTCCACTGATTACACTAAGTCAATAAAATTACGGTACTTTTCTGATTTCCTTTTTCTTTTTTAAATGTCGTCATCCAATTTGGGTTTTTGTACTGCAAATACGTGATTATTATCCAATCATAGGCTCATTAGTCAAACACCCATTATTGTTGCATATGCCAGTTAATTGATGTTGCCAGTTGTGTGGAGATAACAAAATGTATCCGAATTCCACTATAATTCGATCGTTAAAATCAAACCACTTTTCTTTTAAAGTTGAGCATTGTCATCCATAAATGAGTATTAGTATCATTGATTGGGATCTTCTTTCGGTACCACAGCTACCGATGTCATAAATTTGGATTAGGACAGAGGAAATTACTGTGGCTAGTTATTTCACCCATTGAGCTGCCTACAATTTAGCGAGTAGGAGGAATTAGTTACTGTTGCTGACGGTAGACACTCTGAAAATATGTAAAAATAAATAAATAAATAAATAAAAATGTATGATTTGAATTTGGTCTATTGTAACCATAGCCGCAGTGCATCAACTAGCTAGATGTATCAATGTGTAACCAAGACATTCTTTCTCCAATCACCGTCTCTTTGAGATGTTTTTATTGTGATATGCTTGTGATGTATGTACCGTTTTGATTTTTTTTTTTTATATATATAAATATAAATAAAAATGTTCCAAGAACTAGTCATGTGATTTTGGAGTATAAAGTCAACTACTAGGATACTATTCATCGAGGCATTATATTGAAGTGGCGGTGGAATTGCCAAAATACCATGTTGTGAAATTTCTTCCTTTCTTGTGAAGCCAACCCTGCAAACTGCAAGTTTTTCAGTGTGATTATTCTTTGCCCTCATTCTTACTCAACTGCAGGTATTGACAGTGACATCAGAGTAAAGCAAATCCAATCACATACAGTCATACATGATACTACAACAAGATTTCCTTCATTTTCCAACTTGGACAATATCATATACATGCCCCATTAGATTGGGGCCATAAATAATTTATTCATTGCGCGAAGAGATGACTTAGAAATACTGAATTCATCTAGTAAATATATATATATATATATATATATACACACACACCGGTCGTTGTTTTTTAACTTTTAAAAGAAGCAAATTACTTAAAATATTAGTTTAAGACATCCGTTAGGCAGCCAAATTTTTAAAAACAGTTTGTCACGCATTTTTATGGTTACAACGACTATTTACATTAACTAATCCATTTGTTAAAAATAGCGTGGAAATGATATTTGCAGCCAAAATTCCCTCCGCCATTTAATTCCCTTAGCAAACAAGGCTTGTGTGGGGTGGAATGGATTGTCACTACTGACAAAATGCACTCAATGAAGCTGCTGCTGTTACTGCTGTCTATGGAAGAAAAAGAAATGAAATGAAAACTCCCCCCGCCAAATCGTCAAACACAAGACACAGACTCATTATCTGCAACAAATTTACTACTATTCTTAACCACGACAAACAGTTCTGCAAAAAACAAGACATCTCAACTAACCCCCAAAAACATTTTATCCAACAATGACTTGGCCACTGGCCCCGCTTCTGATTATAGATCTACGCTCTCAGAATCACACTCCAATATGCTAAATTCACACACAGTCACACACTAGCAAACAGCCCCAGATAATAGTAAAAAAAAAACTCGAAGTATTCCTCTGGTTTCTGTCGTAAAGATTGAATTTTTGAAAAAAGAGAAATGTCGGCAGTGAAATGAGTTGGGGTGGTCCCACGTTTTGATATTCTGTAAAATTCCTTCAATACACTCACTCCCATGTGCTCACTTTCCCCCCTCCTCTTCCCTGGAGCTAGCTAGCCCATTTGGCTTGTCTTCCCTTTCTGAATTCCTTGATTAAAAGTATCTGTATTCTTTGGTAATAATATAATCATTCAGAAGAATATGTGCTGATAGGGAAAAAGATACACTGCCCGTTTCCTTCCTTCCCTCTCAGTTTTTGTGTGAGAAATTATGGATTCGAGAACCCATCTCGATTATGCTCTGTTTCAACTTACGCCAACAAGAACCAGGTACAATTTGATTGGAACATTTGAGTAATCCGTGTGAATTTGATTAGTTTTTTTTTTTTTTTTCCTCCACTGGAATGTTTCAACTCATCTTTTGCTTAATTGATTGGCAATATATTGGATATAAAGATGTGATCTTGTCATCTTCGCTGGTAACAAGAATGAGAAGCTTGCTACTGGGCTTCTGGAACCATTTATCTCTCATCTCCAATATGCAAGAGATCAGATTTCCAAAGGAGGATACTCCATTACTCTTCGGCCCTCATCTGGCCATTCGTCTTGGTTCACGAAAGCCACTCTGGAAAGGTTAGAATTATGCTACGTCTCTGTTTGATATTTTGCATTGTGAACAAGATGTTTGTTCATTGGCCTCTGTGATCTGGGAACCGGTTTCCTCTCGTTGTTTTCTGTTTCTTTCTTTTATAAATTCGTTGTACTTGATTTTCCTTGCATCAGGTTCGTGAGGTTTGTCAGCACTCCAGAAGTTCTTGAGAGATTTGTCACAATTGAGAGAGAGATCACACAAATTGAGGATTCAATCCAATCGAATGAACAAGCTGAGGCTGAAGGTATAACAAAATTGGAACTTCAAAATTGGAACATTTGAAGTGCTCTTTCTTATGTGGTCCACACTCTTAGCTTGAATTGTGATACATGACTTTAATAATAGTACAGAAAGAGAAGTCTGTCAGTGTTGGTTTTGTACTGTGTTTCGGAGTCTGGGATCTTGTCGGGTGAAGAAGCCTTGCAGAGAAAACGATCTTAGAAAACAAAAAAAAAATTGATATTATTGAGAAAACTTTCAGCTGGTTTAGTGTTGTGTAAAAACAAAAATGATAGTTCTCAAATGCATAATAGATACCAGATGATACCTTTTTATGTTTGGGTGTTTTCAGATGCGTTAAATGTTTGTTTATATCATTGTTTCATCATCAGGAAATGCGTCCTCCACTGGCGGGAACTCTAAAGCTTCTGGTGCTCAAGCTAACAAGGTAAGTTCGCCGCTTGGAATACGTTCTGCCGTCATAAGTGTTTTGAATCTTAGCTGATATTGTTCTTTCCCTTTCTCAAGGTTGAGTCAAATGGCAGTACAGATGATACAGTGCAACAAAATTCCAAGTAAGTTCTCTCCCTTGATAATGTTAATGAGAATTTGTAAAAGTTAAGATCTCTTCTTTGAATGGAATCTCAAACTTTTCACTTTTGGATATGTCAAGGGTTCATCTTCTGCGTGCCTTGGAAACTCGAAAAGCTGTATTAAGAAAAGAGCAAGCCATGGCTTATGCCCGTGCATTGGTAGCAGGTTTTGAAATGGATAACATTGATGATCTCATATCTTTCAGCGACGCATTTGGTGCTAAGCGATTGAGGTAGACTTCTGATCATTCTATTCTTTGAAGTGTATATAAGTTAGTGATAGAACACTCATACACTGTTTATGGAACCAAAAAGGCAAACCCTTGATCCCTGCGTACTGACTGTCACTCAAAGATATGTTGTAAAGGAAGCTAGTAGGATTCCCCTTTTCTATATATTATGACATCTGTTTCCTCCAGGGATGCATGTAACAATTTCATGGAATTGTGCAATAAAAAGAGTAATGATGGGATGTGGATGGATGAAGTTGCAAGGATGCGAGCCTGTGCACCAGAATTTTCTTACATGGGAACATCTGGAATCATCCTTGCTAGTGATGGACAAGCGGACGCATCAGTGTCAGACTCAACAACAAATGAGACTAATACGGGTAGGCTGACCACCCCTCATATCTAAGATTCTTGATATAGCAGATATATTGTAGAAAATAAGCACAAGTTTTCAGCTTTGCTGCTTTTTTCCTGTCTTTGCTGAATGACTTCTGCTGACAATGGTTTGGCAAAAACAGCTGCAGCACAATCAACTCAAGTACCACCATGGGCACAGTATTTTCAAGGTCCACCTCTTCATCAATTTCCCCCTTACCAAGGATACTTCTATCCTGGCATGCCTCCCCAGTCATATTATCCTGGGAGTGCACCTTGGTCTTCAACTACTGAAGATACTAGTTTGGGCCGCCATCCAGATGATCATCACAGAAGAAAGTCGTCTAGAAAGAAGAAGCATGGATCCAATGGAACAGGAGAGCAAACGCCTAAAAATAGTGATAGCAATGAGCTTAGTCACTCAAGCTCAGGAAGTGATTCAGATGACCATGAGCATCATCGAAGAAGACATTCCTTGGATTCAGTGCCCAAGAAATCTGGGAAGAGTTCCTCGCGGAAGGTTGTTATCCGTAACATAAACTATATTACTTCTAAAAGGAACGGGGAAAGAGATAGTACTTCTGGAGATGATTCATCTGATGAGGATGAATTAATAGATGCTGATTCTCTTAAACAACAAGTGGATGATGTTTTAGGGTCGTTTGATAAGCATCATAAATCAACATCAAGCAAGAAGAAGAAAAAAAGAGATGGAACTAAGAAAAACAATAATAAAAGAGATGATATCTCTGATGATGAGAATGAGGATATGCCAACACCTGAAGGAGAAAAGAAGAATCAGGAGTGGGGTGCTTTCCAGAACCTTCTTCTGAGGGATGCAGAGGAACGGGACACTGACATGGGTAGAAGCAATGGCGATTTCCAGGAATATGTTTCCAACAGTAACTCAGGAAAAGGAAATATGTCTTCCTTCAATGCGGAAGCTGAGAATGTGCCAAAAACTCGCGCCGTGTCTGCAGATGCTTTCCTCTTGGACCAAAGATCTGTACTTGATGGGGGTACACCAAGCATAGATACTTTTGAAGCTGGGGAAAGCATCCGCTCTGTGATAAAGAGAGGCAGCACAGATGAGGAATTGCTTCTATCACGAAGAGCACTAGGTTCAGAGATATATTCTCAAGATCCTTTGTCCCATTCTGGCCTTGAATCATCTGTCGTGAAAAGCCGAAGAGAAGAAGATTGGTATGCTGGAAACCGAGCAGATATTTCTGATAACCTTGAAAACAGGATGTCAATGTTCAATGCTGACAATTCTTCAGCATACAGTGTTGGCTCTTTGCAGAATAACAACAGGGATGTTATTGTTGATGACTCGTTCATGATTCAATCTGGGTCTGGGTTTGAGCCTTCTGTTTCTGAACAAAAAACTGATATCTTCTTGGAAGCAGATATTGTTGGGGCAGGCCATTATGAGGATCAACAAGATGATATAAGGGCTTCCAATGCTGATTATGAACCAGATGATCTCTACATGGTACTAGGACGGGAATCAGGTTCTTCTGAGCAGTTTGCTGCCTCTTGGGACCCTGGGATGGATTATGATTCGGTAACTGAGGCTGTCAACAAGCAGTCTGAGTCCAGCGATTCAGTTAATGCTAAGCTCCAAAACGGCAAGTCAGCTAAAACCACTACTGGTAGGTCTCCTAATGGAAAAGTGCCAAATAGATCTGCAATGTCTAGAAACACAGTTGGATCACTTGCAAGGAGCAGATCAGAGATAACAACAAAAGGGAGGACTACTCCTGCCAGAAGCACATCAATGGCTCTAAAGAGTAAAGCTGCCCTGGTAACTACTAGTCTTCATTCAACTCATGTTATTTTTGTTACTATTAGGCATGTCTGATGAATTACGCTTTTATGTTTCCTTTCTTATGTCTTCTGCATTTGTGTACATACTGAGTGAATTCATTCGTTGGATGTTGATGTTTCCTGATTGGCAGGAAGAAGAGAAAAGAAAGAAAGTGGAAGAAATACGTCTTGAGCGGCAAAGGAGAATTGCTGAAAGAAGCGCCATGAGGAGCTCCACTACACCGATCCCTTCAAGGATGAATTCAAAAGAGATCAAGAAATCGCCAGTTTCTGCATCAGCTTCATCTGAGGAGACGAAAAAGACACCTAAACCTGTTTTCAGGAATGCTACCATAGATCGTCTTTCAGCTGCGAGGTCATCAACTGAATCAAATCTAGTAAGCCAAAACAAAAAGGCAGCTACCCCTAAGGAAAATGGATCTCAGAATAAGAAGCTAATTCAAGAGAAGTTGAAGCCTTCTGATAAGAAAACAGTAGTCCAGAATTCCAACGCAAATTCTCCTGGAAGTGATCAAAAGGAACAAAACAACCTGGAAGCTGTTTCTTCCCGTGGTGGTGTTAATGAAGATCCTGAAGTCATTAAGGAGTTGTACAGTGTTTCTTCCATTGAAAAAAGAGAAATTCCAGCTCCAGCTCCAGCTGAAGATCATCACCATCCTCAATCAGAATTCCCAGTGCATAATGGAGATGTAAACTCTAAAGAGTCCTTGGTAAAAGAAATAGCAAAAACTGATGATCATGCAGGATTCATGGATTCTCGAGTTAACAATGGTAGTGCGGTAAGTGAAATTTTGCCTAAAGTTTCAGTGCCTGAATCAACTCCTCCGCAAAACAATGAGATGAGCCCTGAAAACCACACCAGAAAGAAGTGGAATGACAGTGAAAACTCTCCTACAATCTCCAAGGGATTCAGAAAGCTTCTGTTGTTTAGCAAGAAAAGCTGAAATACTACAGCATTGACTTGATAAAATGGGGTGTTAGTCCTTTTCTTTCTTTCTTTTTTTTTTTTTCCCGTTTGATTCTGGAAGAGTGGGTTCTGCAACCGAATTCGTTTGTGTCTAGCCGGTATAGAAATGAAACAGAGAAAGTACAATAAGGCCTCAGGTGTTTGCTGCCAATGTGAAGAGTCATTTTTTTTTTTGGGTTAAGTTAAGTTAAAACAGGTTCCTTACAGAGTGGATAGCAGAAATGTAAAAAAGGGGTATTCTATTCTTTAATTCATCTGTACTATACAGTTGAACTGGTGTTGAATTTTTTTATTTTTGTAAAATTTGTCAGATTATTTTCCATTCTTGATTGTTTGTAAAATATCGCAATTTCTGTGTTGTCATGATGTTTTGCATTAAACTTGTGGCATATTCAGTCTAATTTCATCCTCCAGAACTGGGCAATGTGAACTATTTTTAAGACCAAATTGAGAGTTTAATGATAAATATTCTCCATTTTATGCATCTCACAATCCTAAAACATTATACTCCATTTAATGATAATAAGTAGGAGTACTTACTTTGGTCTGGGAAAAAAAACTAGACTTTTGTAAGATTAAAAAAAACATTCTAATCCTAGTATATGATTATTTTCTTTTTTATATATACTTGTCAAATGTTAACTAAGTGTAATGGGTGGTCGCTCAATCCACGTGAAAGAACATGCTCCTGTATAAATTAAGAACATAGTTCAGGATCTACTTCATTACAAAACAATGTTTGTAAGTTTCAGGATTCAGAAAGTAGCAAGAAATAGATTAGAACTAGTCCACCGTAGTGCCACAGTGTCTAACACATAAACCTTTCCATTAATAATAATAATAATAATAATAATCTTTCGTTTGTTTGATCAAAAAAAAATTAGAATGACATTTTATTCATTAGATTGAGAAAGATGATTGTATCGTGAGTCCGTGAGTGAATTGCTTAAATTTGTCATCCATGCAAAAGTTGTTGTAGAGAGGGGATGCCCACGTGGCAGATCAACCGACACTATTGTTTGCTGCGCACTGCGCACCGCTTCATCTGCCGTTGGATCTGCTACTTCTCAACCGCTTTGCGTCACCGACACACATTTTCATCTTCATTATTTTTCTCCAAGAAAAAAAAAAAAACCTTTTTTATCGCTGCTAAATTTATTTATCCATTCCACGTATTCTCTCGCCCAAGATCTTATACATTAAAAATATTTTAAAAATAAAAGGTCCGAACCAGAAACTATTCATTTTCTTCTGTTAATAATGGTGGTGAGTTGCTTTTGAAGGTTGCTTCTACACAGTTGAGTTGTCATTATTTTCTGGTAAAAAATCTCTCTCTCTCTCTCCCTCTCTTCTTTATTTTTTGTTCCAGTGGTTGAAGCCTGCTTGTTTATTACTCGAAAAGGGTTCCTTTTTTTAAAATAATTTTTCTTTGGTGTATATGTAGAGGACTGAGAAGAAGATCATTAACTGGCAACAGGGGGATAGCTAGTTTTTGTGAAGTGTGAAGTGACTCCACTCCAAAATGGCTTCAAAACTTTTGATGATTGCTATCTTCATAATTGATCTGATTGCTTTTGGTCTAGCTGTTGCTGCTGAGCAGAGAAGAAGCACTGTAAGTTGTTTCAATTCGGATCCTGCTTTCCTACATTCCCTACTTTTGCCCATTTCGGCTTCTTTTTTTTTCTTTTTTAAATTAATTTTGTTCCTCCTTCAGTTTTGCTTTGGAGTTTCTTGATTCAAGTTTTTATCTTTGTGGTTGTTAGTTGGTAAACCTGATGCGGGAAGATCTGCAGAGTTTTCGTATATTAAGAATTTGTTAATGTCGTAGCCTAATTTTGGATCTGTTCTGTGCTTATATAAGAGTGATCTATCATTGCTTAGTTTCTGTACTGATTCTTAAAGATTGTGTCTAGTTCTGTTTCCTCTGTGATACTGTTTAATTTCGGGTCCAAATGATTAATCCGTACTACGCTTTTTATTTATAGTTGTGGCGGAACTGCTTCTTATTCAGCATATAGATTTTGTGCTGTATAAAATTCTTATCTGGAGTGACTAAAACCTGAAATTCAAGTGGTAAAACCTTAATGCTAAGATCTTCGGCCGATGATGTATGGAAATCTTGTTATATGCTTAAACACTCTTTAAAATTGGAAGTCTTTGGAGCCATTTGGGGCCACTTATACCTTTCTAGTTCTGCATTTGGAAAATGGTCTTCAATGTGATACATTAACCTAGGCAGTAAGTATTGTTTGAGCCTCTTTCATCAATCATCATAAGTTCAAACTACCCCTATCGCCAGCCATGTAAGTTATTTCATTTGCTAATGGTGATGGTAAAATTGGGGCTATCAGTTTCAGAATTACCACCTTAAAATTTGCTCCTGCAATTACATCCCGCTTCAGCCAGTCCTGGGCATTTCACTTGTTATTCCATTCTGCATACTCACATTCTTGAATTTTTCTTTCAATTAAGTTTTAGTTCAGCAAGATGTCATTATATTGGTCGATCTGCCAAATATGTCATTTGCTCGTCCGCGTTCCTCCTGCTAATGGTTCAAACATGTTCTTGTTGACAGGCAACAACTAAGCCTGATAGTGAGAAATACTATGACTATTGTGTGTACGACTCAGACATAGCAACTGGTTATGGTCTTGGTGCATTCTTTATGCTCATGCTCAGTCAGGTGATTATAATGTTTGCAAGCAAATGCTTCTGCTGTGGGAAGGCTCTAAAACCCGGAGGTTCAAGGGCTTGTGCTGTTTTACTGCTTATTATATGCTGGTATGTTGGGCGTTCCATTCATCTTCCTAACCAATAGACTTGACTATAAAATGGAACACGGTCTGACATGTAGTTTTTCTACATGATATCTTATTAGGGTATTCTTCTTGATTGCCGAGGCATGCTTGCTAGCTGGTTCAGTCAGGAATGCATATCACACCAAATACAGGACAATGTTCAATGTTGAAGATCCTCCTTCCTGTGAGACGGTCAGAAAGGGAGTTTTCGCTGCAGGAGCTGCTTTTGTGTTCCTCACCGCCATCATCTCTGAGTTCTACTATGTTTCCTTTTCAAATTCCAGGCAAAACTTTGAGCCGTACGGTGGACAGGGTGCAGTAGGCATGGCTTCCTATTGAATATACTTACTAGTATGAGATTTGAGATCAGAGGTTAATCTTCTTTTGTTCTTGGTTGAGAAGAGATGATTGGAACTTTAAATACTCAGTTTGATTCGTTCATGCTTTTTCTGTTGCAAATAGTATTGGGGTATGTAATGTGGTAGAGCCTATAGATCTAAGAACCTCTTTCTGTTAAGATGTTCTTTACTTTTAGAAAGAAAAACATTTTACTGAATGAATATCTAAGTCTATACTTGTATCCTATGTACAAATTTTTCTTCTTGCATTCATACTCATATTGATCTTCATTTCTACTTGCAAATTAAAAAAAAAAAAAAAATTCCGTTTCCAAAATACAGTCCCGGTAACTTGGGTACAATTTGCATCTTGACGAATCATAAGCGAATTTAATCGGCTTATGGCTACCAAGTATCATCATATTTCGATCTCCCGAGGGAAGGAAAAATCTGTTTCTCCTACATTTACATCGTGTAATTTCTTTCTCTCTTTTGGAAAGCACACTGAAAAGTACTCTACGAATGCATCAAGCGTTATGTGAGGAGAAACACATCATTAGACAGAACATTGGTGATCACAAAAAATGGCGTTATGGTTTATAGTACAGAATTTAAGGTCCCTTATCAAGAAAAGCAAAAATTTACACCGTCTTTCTCCTGCTAGTATGAAAAGACAAAAGTGTTTTGTCCCAAATACGCACGTTGATTTGGATACAATGAACAAAATGAAAAGGTCAAAACAAAAAAGTAACCGAGTTGGTAAACTGTAGTTTTGTGATAACATTTTGAAGGGCCACTTGTAGTTAATTAGCTCAAGCATTTTTCAAAAAAAATATGAATTAGACTAGTTGAAGCGCATGCTAGTTGCACCAAATATGCACGCCGACGTCCTGGTCAGACCAATGAAAAATGATTTAATTTTGACTTTATACCAATTTACAATAGTCATTATAGTAAGTAAATATATATATAACAAAAATTGTCAACTTAATTAAGCATGTTAGTATCTGACTTTACTAATTAATGCGGATTACAATAATAGTGAGTCCTATTATTATCTGGATCCACCATTGATCCTTATACACGTGGACAATTAAAAACAATTTGGATTTAGGTATTTCCTAGTAGAGTTTTCCAAGAATTGGGCATGCACGCACGCATGCTCTTGGTTAACTTCTACAACTACTTCGCTCAATTTTTCATTTTGGAAGAGCAGCTCAATTCAAGTTCCTCTCCGGCCGCCGCTTCCCGTTAAATTGCTAGATGAGACGTCTATATATGGTTTTCCATGCTAATGCAGTTATGCTCTTAATTAGCATTACTTATTAGAGGAATCAATCGTGTTTCCGGCGTCCCGACAGAAATGCCACTCTCCACGAATCGGACGCATGCGTCAATATGACATTTCTTTATGAAGGAATTGTTTTTTCCAAATCAATCGTGACTAATATTCTTTTTTAAGTTACAATTATGTGAAACGTGACAATACTTTTGCCTATCATATGTTGTTATAACTTACCACATCGGGTTACGTCTAATTATAGGTTCTTGATACACTCGAAAGGAAGAGTTTTGCCTTTCGAAAAAGACTTATTTAATTCGAATTCGGATCAGTCGAAGTAATGATTTTAGACACCGATAGGAATTGTAAAAAATAAAGTTACTATGTTCGTACCTAATTAAGTAGCCGCAAAATTACAGTCCATCTACAAACACGAAACATCACCCTTACGTTGTGTGCATCAGCCATCAGAGAGACGTTTTTACCAAGAAGTAGGCTAGTAGTAGCCCTTGAAGAGAATAAAAGGGCAACATGGGATGGTGGATTTCTAGCACAGAAGTCGGTCTTTTTGACATTCAAAACATTACTGCCCACATGAAATTTTCTCCATATAAATAGAAGCAAAGACTTTCAGTTGGTCGCCACAAATTAAAATTAAAGACATGTCGTCGTATAGTCAAGTAGAGAAATCCCAAAGGGGAGAAAAATCATTAGTGTCAGGCCACTCTCAAAACTCTTCTTACCAGTCTCATCGATGACCGAATGACCACCTTTTTTGCTTATAATTTTCATTATCATCATCATCATCATCACTGACTAATCCAGCTATCCCCCACGAATCCTCCTACGGTTCTTGATTGAAAATAATCTGCCTCATGATGAAGGCGGGTGCGATGGAAGATGCCAGTTTTGTTAATCAAGATGAACCGGAATTGGTGCGCAAAAGGAAATGGGAAAATCCTTTATTGGTAGTGAATGAAACCACCTCCTCGGGACTACTTCTTCAGAGTAAAAGTAAAACTATTGGGAAGATGATGCCTCTGAAGAAGAAGAAACACCAAAGCCCTCAACCTGATGATCCGAAGCTGCTGCCCACAGAATCATCATCATCATCATCATCAAATCCTGCAGCAGCAATATCTCGCACATCTTCAAGGTCGTCGTTTAATTTCCCTTTCGCCTTAGACGAACCCTTACAAGAAGATTTTATGTCAGGAAGATCAGCGGCTGCGATATTGTCTTCAGTAGGTATTCCATCATCATTACCAAAACAGTACAACTCCCATGGCCATGAACATTCTTCTTCCAGCAGGATGATTTCTTTCGGGCCTGGAAATAATATTATTGACGATCATGATGAACAATATTATTATGAAGCCTTTCAATTGAGCCCTGATGAAGAAGGAAGGCTTCAGGAAACTGTAGTATCCAATCATCCCAACCCGAAATTGTTTAGGGGAGTGAGGCAACGTCAGTGGGGGAAATGGGTTGCGGAGATTCGTCTCCCTCGGAACCGAACCCGCCTCTGGTTAGGCACTTTCGACACCGCGGAGGATGCCGCTTTGGCCTACGACCGACAGGCTTTCAAGTTGAGAGGAGAAAATGCAAAGCTCAACTTCCCACATCTCTTTCTCCACCACCATCTTCATCATCATCATCATCATCATGTCTCAAGCTCTCCGTCTCCAACTTCCTGCATCACAAATTGTGAAAAGGAAAATCCACTTGATGATGCAACTCATGTTTTACCTTGTTTGTCAAGAAGAGAAGGGATCTTCCATCCAGCTGATATGCAGGAGGATCAACAACAACATGGTTACTTTGAGCCTAATTTCCTCCAGGTTCCGGCTAGCCCTGTTTGGGATAACTTAACCATCTCCGATTTGATTTCCTCCTCCAATTCCTATCTTCATCCAAACTCATGATATATATATATATATATATATATATATATATTCTACTAAAGTGAAAAGTTACTGCAGTTTGAATTTCATTAATACAAAAGGTATGGATGCATATTCACTGGAACTATATATGCATTCGTTACATAATTCTGCACGCACACCCTAGTTATAATTACACAAATTAATTACTACCACAACAACAAAAGGAAGAAAAAAAAAAGGGGTAATGTGGTGTGCCCTTTTTAGCTAACTAGTGTCACACTAATAATTTATATTCTTCAACGATCGTTATTCATATCTTCACATTTGGTTAATCCATCAAAGTTATTTCTTCACTGAATACTACGTATATATCTGTTTGTTTCCATCCATTTTTGGGAACCAAAATATTACAAATTTTCAGTGCACCTTTTTACCTCAACGACTTACTTGCTGTATCATTAGAAAGGAAAAGAAAAAAAGAAGAAGTTAGTCCATATAGAGTTTTGAAACTTTGCACTTGACAAAATTTCAAGGTGTACTATTTTTCTGTTACAAAGAGAGTAGAGTATGTTCTTTCTACATTTCCAACACATTTTTTCCACCCAAACACGAATGATTCCACACAGTGGTCTGAACCGGGAAAATTGCATCAATTTTCCAAATGTTCCTGACATTGCGTATAAATCCCAAGTGTATTTTATTTCGGTTAATGTGGTCTAATTGTCTGTGTAAAAAGTAAGCACTACAATGAGACATTGTGGTATGAGAATGTCCAGCGCCCATAACTCATCCGTAGCCCGGAGGACACGCAAAGTCTCCTTCGCGGATAATTTATGGCCCAATTCTTTGAGTAGATGGACCAACAAGACACAATGTGAACCCAATGTTGAAAATTAGTTATGGCCATGAATATGATCTGGTGTTTCACTATTATTGTCGTATTTATGAGCTACTGTATTCCTGTTGCTTTCCGAAAATGCACAATAGTAGCCTAAACCCAAAAAAAATATTTAAAAAAAGGAAAATTTTTTTCTCAAAATATATATATAAATATAATTAGCTAGCTGTAATAACTAAAGTCATTTGAATATCATCACAGACGATAAAGTGCTAAGTAATGCACTCATTCTGTTCTTATTTCTAAAGTATACGTTGGAACTAAATTTAATGATAATTTGTGGATTATATATAAATAAGTTTTGAGAGAGTACAATATTTGTTGAATGGAAATAGTAAATAAAGTGAACAACGGATGTATGAATGAGAGTAAATGGTTTGAAGTTTTTCCTAAAATGTACGACCTCTAATGCTTGTTTGCAACGTTTTCTCATTGTTTTTCTTTTCTTGTTGAGGATATAAAAAATATATATTTACAATGTAAAAATATACAAATATAAAGAAATGCAAAATAAAAAAAACTTCAAAAACCTAATGAAAGAAGTGTTCCAAACAAATTTGTGGTTCCATGTTTTGGTAGGCTGATGTATAATAAAGAATCACGCTTGCGATAGTACGGAGCACATGCATCCACTTCAAATCATTCTGAAATGTTCCTTCCTTCATGTTCCGTTTTGCTGCTAACAACTATAATACTTTATCCATTTCATTAATAAATCACTTAATTTGTTAAATTACATTAATATGTAAAAATACTCTTAATTTAAAAAAAAAACGGAGATAGTTACTCAATCAATATATATACATATAATTCTTAGTGGAAAATGTATTGTCGACCAAATAACTTTCTTTTTTTTTTTTAATTTATCAAGCCGGCTTTTTAAAAGCCTATCAAATTCATTATTTGTATATATTATGCTGGATATTCTCATATTTCAAGATCAATTAGGTTCAGTCGCTAATAATCTCGCCCACAAAGTTGTAAGAAACAAAAGAACACTAAAAGCCTCAGTATTAAGACTAAAAGTAGTGTTTTACAGAATTTCGCTTTAGCTTTTACGAAATTTTAAATGTAATTAGGAAACAAAATTTAAAATACATATATGAGATGGATCCTTTTTGAAGCTGAATCAGAGTGTCGGGAATCAGGCCACGTGGTGTGTCTGGCACTATTTAGGAGCATGTTATATATACGTGTTGTTAATAATAATGATGATAAAAAGTAGTAATGGTGGGATATAT